AAAAATGATAAAGATCTGTCTCTATTTAGTATATTGAAATTGTTTACTAAAGATACATGGAAGCAGAAATTATAATCTCTTTTAATGTACAGCCATTACCTAATTGACACTTTGTAATATTTTGATACAACAAGTTAATGTTTAATATGCATTAAAAAGATGTTTGTGCAATATTAATCACTTTTGTTGTTTAGATTCATCACTGCTATGGATGTAGATTCCACCCACCTGAAGCTTTTTTGTTTTGAGAAAAAAGAAAAAGGTTTATTGCTTTGCAGGCAACATGGGACTCCTGTCCCGAAGACTGTGATTCCCCCAACCTCTCAACCTAATTAACTAGCATTCCAGCAGCAAAGTGACTAATTATGTTAATCCTGGTTGGATCAGTTGGTGATTATTGTTCAATAGAAACAATATATGATCTCAAATTATTAATATTTAACTACAACTAATAAGATATCTTATAATGTGGACATTGCCAGGAATTACTGATCAAAGAAAAAAACTCTTTTGCACTTGACTCCTATTAGACATTTAAAAAACCTTTAATAGTGTTATTTTTTTAAAAGTTACCTGATTGTTTTTCTAATTACGAAACATGCTGTTTAAATTGAGATATACTACACACTACTATCCTTAGAGCTATTTCTGTGCTAACTTTTTTTTATAAAGTCATTTTTATTTATTCTTTTATTTTGTAGTGCTGGGGATTGAACCCAGGGCTTTGTGCATGCTAGGCAAGTGTTCTACCACTGAGCTACATTCCCAACCCTTAACTAATATTTTAAAGCTGGCAATGGCAGCTTTTGCTGTCAGGTACTATTACTAGATGTTTTATATGAATCATCATGTGTAATTCTCTAAAGTGAGTGAGGCCATCCAAATTTACAAATGAAGTAGAAGCACAGAGAAGCTAAATGATTTGCCTCTGGTCACTTACTTGGTACTTGGAGGGGGAATTCAAATCCAGGCAGTTCTGACTCCAGAGGCCATGTTCTTACCATACTCTTACCTCTTACATTACCTTGTAATATAGATTAATTGTAAATAGAGGATTCACTGGACTCATGTGAAACTGTAATTTCTAAACAAAACTAATTCTAGCCACATTAACTTCAGTGTTGTTATGATCATGACAATAATAATAGAGAATTTTACAGTAATTAATTTTTGTTAAGATGTCATTGCTTATACATTGCCAAATTGTGACACAATTTTACATAAGCCAAAACAGTATCCAAAATAAATTGAACTAGAAGATAAAACAATTTTTATGTCAATTCAACAAAGTATACTGAGGAGCAACCAAAATTACTAAGGATAAAGGACATACAATGATAAAGCAATTGACTGACTAAAATGAAAATCCTAAATTTGTAGACACAGAGTATCACAACTTAAAAATACATCAATCAAACTGACAACACTGAAAAGTGAAATGGTCAAATCACAGTTAGGGAATTAAAACATTCCTGTCAGTAATATATAGAATTATTGGAAAATTAGCAAAAATGTAGAACTGAATAAAACCACCAACCAAATCTGACTTAAACCATCTTAAAAATACTTCCTAAGCATCATTTTCAAGCACATGTAAATAGTCACACCAAGGAAGACCCTTTCATGGATCTTAAAAAGAATCTTAACAAATTTAAAAGATCTTAAATAAAATGTTTTCTGAACATAAAATAGAAATCAATAGGGAAATCTGCAAGTGCTTGGAAATTAAAGATTAATGATTCATGGCTCTAAAAGGAAGCCTTAAAAGGGAATCTGAATATAATTTAAACAGTGTAAATGAAAATAACACTGTGGAGTGCAACTAAACCAATACTCAGCAAATTACAGCATCAACTGCTTTTATTGAATAGGAAAAAGGGTCTAAATCAATTAGTTTTAACTTTAAGTAAAAAATAAAACCCAAAACAAGCAAAAGGAAGAAAAAAAAACAGAAAGGAATTGATGAAATTCAACACCAACACCAGAAAAAAATTAACAAAATTAAAAATCAGTTATTTGAAAAGAGTAAAAACGCTGGGGCAGTGGCACTTGCACTTGCCTATGATCCCAGCAATTTGGGAGACTGAAGGATTATAATTTCCAGGCCAGCCTCAGTAACTTAATGAGAACTTGTCTCAAAAAATAAAAAAGGCTATAGTTCATATTGGTTGAATCCCCAGTACTAAAAATGAAAAGAAGAATAAAACTGATAAACAAGCAAGATTGACAAAAGAATTATGGATATTAGGAATGAAGCCAATATAACACTACAAACCTTAAAGACATTAAAAGAACACAAAGAAATATGAACAAATACAATCACAGTAAAATGAACCAATTCTTTATTTTTTTGTTTTGTACTAGGTATTGAAGCCAGGGATGCTCTACCACTGAGCTATAGCCCCAGCCCCTTTTGTTTATTTAAGTTGCAGAGGTTGACCTTGAATTTGCAATTCTCTTGCCTCAGCATCTGGAGATGTTGGGACTACAGGTACGTACCACTGTGCCAGGCTTAAACCAATTCCTTGAAAGACAAGAAGTACTAAAACAACCAAAATGAACTGGATAGCTTAAATAAATTATATAATTATTTTTTAAAAATAAATGCTTATTTAAAATCTTTCTGGCAAATTCATAAAGGATTAAGATTCTACAGTGTCTCTTTCAGAAAATTAAATCTAGATGGATCAACTGAACAATATATCCATGACCAAGTCTTGGGTGGGGGGTGCGGAGATAAGCAATTTCAAAATTTGAAAATCAATATAAAGCCACCATATTAACGTTCTAAACAGGATAAAAACATTTGATCAAAGCAAAATCATTTGAGAAAATTCAACATACTCTGATAATAAGCTCAGCTAACTAGAAATCAATAGATGGGAACCTCCTCAATCTGATGAAATTATGTATGAAAAAACTACAGCTAATTGGACACAGTGGCTCCTGTCTATAATCCCAGCAACCCAGGAGGGTGAGGAAGATTGAAGTTAGAAGCTAGCCTCAGCAACTTAGTGAGGCACTGTCTTAAAATTAAAAAATAATAATAATATAAAGCTGTAAATGTATAGATAGAATTGGAAAGGTAGCTCAGTGGTAGAGTACCGCTCCCCTCACTCTGCCCACCACCCCACTGCTGGTTTAATCCCCAGTAACAAACAGAACAAAATAAATGTACAGCTAATATCCTACTTAATGATGAAAAGCTTTACTTTCAAAACCCTAAAGAACAGATAAGATCACTTCTTCCACTTTATTGTTCTAGCTGGTGCACCAGGCAGGAAAAAGTAATAAAAGGTATATAGACTAAACATGATAAAATACAACTTCCTATTTATGGTTTATGTAGAAAACTCAAGGAAGGGATCAATAACAATAAGAACAAAAAACTCCTAGAACTAATCATTGAGTGTAGTAAAGTAACAGACTATAAGTCAACAAACAAAACTCTAATATATTTGTTGTAGATGCTAGTAATATACAAATGAAAACCCAAATTTCAAAAACATTTACAGTATCTCCTCCCTGAAAATGAACACTTAGGAATAAATCTAATAAAATAGATAAACTACAAAGAACACAAAATGCTGAAGACTGAAATCAAAAAGGAGCTAAATGGAGAGATACTTAATGTTCTTGGATTGAAAGACTCAGGCAATTCCATTCAAAACCCCATCAGGAATCAGGAGACTAAGGCTGGAGGATCAAAAGTTCCAAGTCAGTCTAGCAACTGAGCAAAACCTTGTCTCAAAATAAAAAGGGCTAGGGATGTGCCTCAGTGAAAGAGCTCCATGGATTTAATTCCCAGTACTGCCAAAAAAAAAAAGCTACAAGGATTTTTTCATAGATATTGCCTGGCTGATTCTAAACTTTATATAGAAAGATAAGGAAATAAAATAGCCAAAACAATTCTGAAAAGGAATAAAGTTGAAGGAATCATACTAACCAATTGCAATATAAAGCTATAATAATCCAGGCAGTATGGTATTTTTAAAGGATCTACACATAGTTCAATGGAAAAGAGCATACAAAAACACATAAATATATAACAACTGATTTTTGAACAAAGGTGCAAAGAGAATTCACTGGGGAATGGATAGTCTTTTCAACAAATCATTTTGAAATAAATGAACAGCCACATACAAAAAAAGTCACCTCCACCTAAACTTCATACCTTATACAAAGTTAACTTAAAACAGGCCACTGATTTAAATGTAAAACATAAAATCATAAAACTTTAGGACAAAAACAAAGGAAAGAATCCTTATGATTGGGTTTAAGGAAAGCATTCTGAGATATGGTACCAAAAGCATGATCTACTAACATGATGATTAGACTTCATCAAAATTAAAAACTTCACTGCTTCAAAAGGTACCATCATGAAAGTGAAAAATAACCCACAGGACAATTTACAAATCATATACCAGATATTTGAGGTAATATATAAAGAACTTTAAATAATATGACAATCCAATTTGAAAATGGGCAAAGGGCCGGGTGTGGTGGTACATACTTGTAATCCCAGCAGTTCAGCTAAGGCAGGAAGAATGCAAGTTCAAAGCCAGCCTAGCAACTTAGCAAGGCCCTGTCTCAAAATTTAAAAATAAAATAAAAAGGGGGCTGTGGTTCAGTGGTTAAGCACTCCTGGGTTCAATCATTGGTATCAAAAAAAAAAAAAAAGAAAAGAAAAAGAAAATGGGGCAAAGGATTTGAAAAAAACATTTCTCCAGGGGAAGATACACAAATGTTCAATAAGCACAAGACTGACATAGGCTTTAGGGAAATGCAAATCAGAGATACCACAAAGAACTATCACTCTATATCCACCAGAATAACTAGATTCCAAGAGACAGGTAAGTATTGGCAAGAATGTGAAGAAACTGGAATTCTGGTACACCACTGGTGGGAATAAATGATGTAACTGCTTTGGAAAACAATCTGATGGTTCCTCAAATTATTAAACATAACCTGAAAATTCTATTCCATATAAAACACATATGCACATAAAAACCTCTACACAGATGTTTATAGCAGCAATATAAAGCATAGATAAAAGATGGAAAACCCCCAAATACCCATCAATTTACAAATGAATTAACAAAGTATGATAGAGCCATGCAATGGAACATTCAGACATAAAAATGAAATACTGATATATGCTAGAACACAGATGAACCTCTAAAACGCTGTTGTAAAATAATCCAGTAACCAAAATCCACATATTATTTGATCCCACGTATATGAAATGTTTAGAACAGGGAAATCTATGCAACAGAAAATAAATTAGTGGTTGCTTGGCTGGTGAGGCAGGAAGAGATGACTGTTAAAGTGTACAAGGTTTTGGGGGGCTGAGATTGTGGCTCAGTGGCAGAGCGCTTGCCTAGCACATGTGAGGCACTGGGTTCAATTCTTAGCACCACATATAAATAAATAAAATAAAGGCCCATCAACAACTAAATTTTTTTTTAAAAAAGTGTACAAGGATTTTATTTCAAATGACAATATTCTAAAATTGACTATGGTAATGGCTATACATACTATGCATATTGAGTTATATACTTTCGTTGAAATGTATGTGAATTATGTCAATAAAAGCTATTTTTTAAAAATTAAGTGATCCCATTTATAATTTAAATGCATACCTTTTTTGATACTGGGGATTGAACCAAGGAGTGCCTTACCACTGAGCTATATTCCCATCCCTTTTTATTTTGAAACAAGAGTCATGCTAAGTTGCTGAGACTGACCTAAAACTTGTGTTCTTCCTGCCTCAGCCTCCCAAGTTGCTGGGATTACAGGCATGCACTACTATGCCCGGCTATATTATATATTCTTGAGAAGACAAAAATGTATAGATCAGTGGTTTACAAAGTTTAGAGATTGGGAGGTATGGGGTGACTACAAAGATAGCATAGGGGTATTTTTAGTGATTGAACTGTTTTAGGGTGATTATGAAGTTGTTCACATGTATCTATACATGTGCTAAATTTCACTGAATTATACTCCAGAAAGTTAAAATTTTCCTGTAAAACTAAATGCCAAAAAGAAACCAATTAAAAGAACAACTCATTCCTGAAATTACTAGGTAAAATCAACAAAGTAGGCATCAGAGGAGGACAGGCTACAGTGATCCAGAGTTAAGTATTGGGGTTCAGAGATGATGAGGAGGATGTCCCTGCTCAGCATAGAATATTAGATCTCCCTGTGAGATGACCTATGACAGGTAGTCAAATAGATTAAGTATAATAGGAATGAGACTTCTTACAGCTATGGGAGTTATAAAGATATAAAGAGATAAAAGTAAAATGAACCTGATGAGATTTGGATTCAAAGTTTAGGTGTGAAGTCATATGGTTTTACATATAATTTTATATATAGATACACACACAGATGTACTACACATATTATATACAAACTAACAGTAATTACTTACACACAGATCATAGTTTTGCGTATGTGGTGCTGGGGACTGAACTCAGGTCTTTGAACATGCTAGGCAAGTGCTCTACTAATGAGCTATACCCCCAGCTTCTTAAAAATACCCTTATTCACTAAAGAGAACAAAAGGGTTCCTTGGAAAAATGGCTGATTCTTGGGCTGGGGCAGGGAATGTGTAATTAGCCTGGTGTATATTAGATCAGAGTAAGAAATCACTCAAATAATCATGGGAATATGTTAAAAGGACAACAGAAGTCACCTAGCATGTGTCTTTTACTGGCCAATAATTTAATTTTATGAATTTAAAACATCAAAGTAATAAAAATAATAGATTTTAACCCACCAAGACATTGATTCTACAGATATAAATTTTGACTAGAAACATGGTAGTACTTTTAAATTACCTTCTCCCAAAATAATTAATCTTAAAAGGAGGTACTTTATAGTGAAGTATGGCAGCCACTATCTTATTCAGTGATCTAAGTAACACTATCTTAAGTAGGACAAATTGAAATCATTAATCTATGATAGGATAAAATAAGATCACTTCTATAACATTCTTGACAATAATTCACAACTTGAATTTCATCATGAAAAAATATCAGAGACACTGGGGATGTACCTCAGTGCTAGAGTATTTGCCTAGCATGTTTTAAGGCCATGGGTTTGATCTCCAACATCACAAATAAATAATTAAATAAACAAAAGGAATATCACATAAAGCTAGAATGTAATCTTTGAAAATGCCAAAGTTTTGAAAGCCAATGGGGGTTAAAAACAAAACACAAAAATAACTTGTTCCAGACTGACATCTACAGGCAGGTCATGATTGTGAAAGAGTTTTCTTGTTATGACAGACATTATTGGGACTATCAGTTTACTGTGATTAGAGGGAATATCTGAGGAACAGATGGTAGTAATATGTCACCATAAATTTCCTAATTTTAATGGTTAGGTTATAGTTATGAAAGTGAATGTCCTTTTCTGCAGCAAACACACAGTAAAGTACTAAAGTGAATCATCTCTTAAATTTATTTACAAATGGCTCAGGAAGAAAGAAATTTTGTGTACTTTACTTTGTAACTTTGCTATACATTTGAGATTCCTTAAAAAAAAAAATTAAAAAGGATACAGGATGAAATGAAATCTCGACAATTCCTATATATAGCCAGGGGCAGTGGTGCACAACTGTAAATACCAGCAATTCAAGAAGTTGAGGCAGAGGATCAAAGGTTTGAGGCTGCCTGGGCAAATTAGTGAAATCTTGTGTCTTATGGAGTAAACAATGGACTGTGGATGTAGCTCAGCAGAACACACCCCTGTGTTAAATTCCCATTACCAGAAACAAGAAACGACAAAAATCCCTGTCTATATTTCTGAATAACTAAGAGAAAAATAATGCCTCTGCTTTATAGTGACCTAAATTTGCATTCTGCTACTACAAACGACATGCCCAATAACCGTATTCACTTAGCTGCTTCTCTGTTGTATTATTACTTCTCATTTGTATTATTAGTTTTTTTAACTTTTTCAATTTCTTGACATAAAGTAATCCCTTAAGAAATAATATTATAATTAAGAAATTTACATTAACTCTTTTAATATTGTTACCCAAAATACTTTTGTGGAATTTTTGTTAAATTTTTTTTTTTTAATACTTATGTGAATTAATGTACTTAGATGAAGGGGCATACGATCCTCTTTCTGAAAAAGTTTATTGAACTTTATTCCTGCATCACACTTATCAAAAGAAAAACTTAATTTTCTCTGAAGGCACCCTTTCATTTAATATGATCTGCACCCCAATGTTTTTTATAGTAAAAATGCATTTAAATATGAAACTGGTAAAATGTAGCGTATAAAACTCCATGCTGAGCAAAAATAAGTCCAAAAAAATTACCATATGTTCACAGACAGTTCCCACTGTACGTTTCCTATGTAAATCATATTTGAATGCAATTTTTAGAACCATGTTTAAATGTATTTTGCAATTTAACTGCAAGCATCCGTATTTTTCTTCTAGCACATAATCTGTTCCTTTAAGTTGGCAACATCAGCTAGGATCCACAGAATGTAGCAAAAAAAAAGAAAAGCAGTTATTTCTCAAGGTTTGAGAAATCTGGTCCACCTTTACTGTAGTTTCCTGAGATTTCTGCTCCACTGAAGTCAAAACCAGGATTCTAAAAGACATGAAAAAAATGTATGATATAAAACTTAAACTAGGAAAAAGGTAAGTATGAACTAGTAATTGATTAAAAAAAGGAGATCTAAATGGACAAAAACTGAAAAGATACCAAACCTCGCTATAATCACCAAAATAAAATTTAAAACAATGAAGTATTTTTCAAGTTTACAATTTATAGATATTTAGATTGATATGTATAGTACTGCATTGACAAGCTTATAGAGAAACATATTTGAATATCAATACATAAACCGATTTTAAAAGCTATCTTGAAAGCTTACTGTATTGCCATGCAGGGTTCTGTAAATATATATCAACACATTTAACTCTCACAGCAATTCTATAAAATACATACTACCTCAGGCTTTCATCTTTTCATTGGGCAATTTCATTTATTTAACAAATTTACTGAATTACTACTGTTTGAAAGACACCATTAAAGGCATGTGAAGTTCAAGAGTGAACAAAGATTCCTGCTCCAGTGGCGTGTCCATTGTAGAAGAGACCAATAAACCATGTATTATTGAATGCAAGGGTTGGCAAACTTTTAAGTAGTCATATGGTAAATATTTCAGGCTTTGCAGACAACACAAGTATACACAAATATACAACTTTCACAAGTACACAACTATATGAAATTGCTGCATGCAAGATAATACACAAACAAATGAGCATGTGGGATGATTGATCAACATATGCTTCATCGAGCAATGATTTGAAAACAATGCAGAAGTTAGCTAAACTATGGAAAAAGAGTATTCAAGTCAGGACAACTAAAGAAAAGGCTACTATGTTTAATAGTAGTGAACAGTATGGTTGGAGTAGAAGGACTGAGGGGGACAGCAATAAGAGAAGAGAAGGTTGGGGAGATAACAGAGTAACTGTTTAGATTAATCCAGTAAGAGGAGCAATTTGCAGAGTTATGAGAAATTGTATGATCCAATTTGCATTTTAAAAGGACTTCTCCAACTGCTATTTTGAGAAGACAGCCTGGGCAAGGCAGAAGGAAGGAGGCCAGTTAGAAAATTACTGAAGTAATCCAGGCAATATATTTGAGATGGTACACAGCAGAGTAGTAGTAGCGCTGGTGGTGATAAGTGGTTAAATTCTGAATACATCTGGAAGATAGTTCTAATAAGACTTCCTAACAAACTGGAAAGGTCGTGAGAAAGAAGATAGGAATCAAAGAGAATTCCCAATTTTTCTGACCTATGCAACTAATTTCCATTAACTGATTTAACCTTTTTTTTTGCAATGCTGGGGACTGAACCTTGGGCCTCATACATGCTAGGCAGTGCTCTACTACTGAGCAAAATCCCTAGACCCAATTGCGTTTAACAAGATGAGAAGGATGGAGGTCAAATAAATTTATGGAGGAAATTAGATTACTAATTTGGACATGATGAGTTTGGTACACCTGTCAGATAGTCAAATGGAGATGCTGAACAGGTAATTGAATATGCAGATCCAAAGTTCAGAAGAAAAGTCTAGGCTAGATATATGTATTTGGAAATCATCATATAAAAAGAATTATTCATCAAAAATTTTTAAAAGTGCTTTGACTCAGTAATTCCTCTCCTAGCTATCTGGCTCAAAGATATGTTTCTTGGAACATTCAAGTAGTTTTACAGAGACGGAAACATAAGCTCTGCTTAAAATAGAGGAAAATGGAGAAATCCAAATATTATCAACGAGAAATAGCCAAATAAATAATTAATAGACCCAAACTAGGAAATGCTCTGAAGCAAATTAAAAGGACTGAATTTTATCCATATGTACTATTAGGGAAAGATATCCAAGATACACTATTACATGAGAAGACAACATGAAAAACAACACAGCGTGGAACCCAATGGATCACTTAAAATAGCTTCATTATATGATATACAAACTACACCTCAGTAAATATGAGAAAGAGTACACAGCAGAATGATTAAAAACTCACTTTTTTCATCTCAAACAACAGTGGAACAGGTTGTCTTTCAAGCAGTTTTCCTTTCCATCATGGATATTTTCATAATGCCTCAGAGAGGTATGAGTATCTCTGCCTCTCAAATCTAATGTATTTAATATACTCTATTCACTAACTAAAATCTTGCTTTGCCTTTTGCATTCTCTCTTGATTTGATACCACCCCTTTTAGCAATTTGCGATATAAATATTTTGCATTATGAATTCAATCCATGGCCAGATGACTAATAAACTCTCAATATTAAAAACAACAACAATAATACAGTGTGAACCTCCACTTAAACTAAAAATGAAACAAACAGAAATGCCAAAATAGAAGATGAAAATGAGACATGAAACAAATGAGGGAATGATGGTGAAGGGACCTTATACATTTTTATGCCACATATGTATCCTAATATTAACTTTATAAGAATTCATTACTTGGGGCTGGGGTTGTGGCTAAATGGTAGAGCACTTGACTGGCAAGCGTGAGAAAATGGGTTCGATCCTCAACACCACATAAAAATGAATAAATAAAATAAAAGTATTATGTCCATCTACAAGTAAAAAATATTTTAAAAAAAAGAATTCATTACTCACGATTTACTGATGTACATTAAGTAAATTTAAACTCAAAATCATAGCAATACAAATAAGTTATTTTCAAGAAAATTTTAAAAAATTATAAAGGCAAATTTTCTAATCATTTACCTTAAAAATTACATTAATTTTTATTACTTTTTATAAACACATTGAGTTTTAATGTCAAATAATAATTATTCTCTTATTTTTAGATATTTAACCTTACACCTTCATAGAGTCATCTGACTTACTTCTTTTTGGAATCTCTCTAATGTAAGTTTTCTCTGCATTTGGTCTTGTACCCAAGGATCAGCTGCATATTCAGATTCCAGAAGAGAAGTCCAACAATTTGCCGCATCTCTCTTTGTCTTTGTGAGAACAATACGAACCATTTTTCTATCCTCTAAAGAAAAAAATTACAAAAATACTAGAGTTTATTGTTTTATATATTCCTAAAAACATTAGGTAATTTTTGCATATAAATGTTCTCAAAGTATTTCTATATTCTCCAAAGCTCTGAAGACAAAGGACTTAAGGGGAAAGATATTAAGTTCCAATACAAAATTAATTTTAACAAAGATTCTATGAAGCCTAAAAGATTATCCTTACCCAAAGTCCATGTTCCCTCATCAGCTATTGTAGAATCAAAGAGTTTGCCCTGAAAAATAAACATGTTACTAAATATAGAGTTTCTCATTAGTTTTACAAAGCTTTCATTAAGACTTAGCTAATTTCAAACTGAACACATCTTACACCATTTCACTACATTTATGTGCTCAACCTTAAGTTTCCTTCCAGGGTTAAATGAAATCTAGGTTATAGGAATATTTACTATGACAAGCAACACAGAATTCCCTAAAGGAAGACCAGGGCCCTTGAATATTTATTTATTTATTGTAGTACTGGGGATTAGAACATAAGGGTACTCTACCCATGAGCTATATTCCCAGCCATTTATACTTTGCGTTTTATTTTGAGACAGGGTCTTGCTAAATTGTTGAAGCTGGCTTCAAACTTGCCATCCTTCTGCCTTATCCTCTTGAGTCACTGGGATTACAGGTATGCCCCATTGTGCCCAGACTTAACTTTTTAGAAGATGAAGAAGTACTACTGATCACTAATTGGCCAAATGTAAAATTTATATATTAAATGCGTTAATTTTACTAATCAAATTTAAGAATACAAAAAGGGATTTCCTGCTTTAAAAATGGTTTAAAATAAACATAAATAAACATAAAAACTGGATCAATCTCTTCGCTGACATGTTGGCATTAAAAACAAAAACCTTAAAGCAAATACTGTAGCTCATGAGAAATGTGCTCTAATTTTTCACAAAACCTTGTGTCAATAAAAAAAGAAGCAAAATATAAATTTAGACGAAAATGCCCATGCTCAAACACATACTTTTCCCAAATTTAAGTTATAGTAATTGAAATTAAAATGTTACTTTTAAAAAATCATTTAGCCAGGTATGATGACTAATGGCTGTAATCTCAGCAACTCAAGAAGACTCAGGCAGAAGGATCCAAGTACAAGGTCAGCCTCAGCAACTCGGGGAGACTCTGTCTCCAAATAAAAAATAAAAAGGTGCTGGGAATTTTAATTATTCTGGAAAGTAGGAACTGTACAGATATTCAGAAAGCTCATTAAGATCCAAGAGGACATAAATCAATGTCTTTTGCACAAATCATCCCAGGCACTCAAGGCGCTTCTATAGAAAATAATTGTAACAGACGAGCAGTGTGAGACAATAACATACCAAGCACTCTGCAAGCTCTTCAATCGCATGGATACCATACTTTGATCAAAACAATCCTAAGAAAGGTTCTATAATTACCACACCTTGCATATAAACAAGGTCGTTAGAACTTTGAATAACTTTTTGCCTAAGGTTAAAAAACTAGAAAACTGGCACAGCAGGGTATCCCACCAAGTAGTCTCCCTTCACCTCCACACTACAAGATAACCCAACATCTTGGGATTCTTATCTAGGAACAAAATTTATTTTCAAATTGTTATGTGAACTTTGACTGCTTTGGGTTTAGCAGGTCCAGACCCAAAGGGCATCGATGAGAAGAAATGCGCGCTAATTATTTTTTCTACTCCTCTTCACAATTGGCTTGACCACTTTGCAAACACGTAGGGTTTGTCTAATTCCAGATAACAAGTCACCTGACACTATCTCTGAATTCTCACCCTGTTATACCGTCCCTTCCATGTCGTGTTTTCCCATACCAGCCTACATATTTACTAGGAACGTAACCCGCTCTGCAGCAGGAGGATTTTATCGGTCTTTCATTTCCAAACCTAGATCAGTGCCCGGAAAAGAGAATATGTAGGATCAATGCTTGTCCCTTTAACGACCTAGTTAACCAGTTCTCCGCACGACCTCTGGAGTAATCGCAAGCAGAGGCCTGACTTTTTTGGGAAATTAAACAGTAAAATGCAACCTCGAAATTTCCACAATTCAAGATTTGCCCTAAGAATGGGTGCTCTGAGCAGAGCAAACACAGGCCAATTTCACCCCTTTCCCAGGCTGCCGGCGAGAGGAGCCGACCTGCCCAACAACCACTCCTCGGGAAGGGCGGGCTTTAGGGCCCCCGGGCTCCGAAGGTCTATGGAAGGAGAACGCCGGCCCGTCTAGCCGCTACCTTGAGGATCTCGCGGCCGCCTACGGCCAGGGCCACGTGCCGGCTCTGCAGACCGCACTGGATATCCTGAGCTCGAGTGCCTGGTGGCACCTGCACTTCAATGAACACCTCCTCCAGAGTCTGGTACCACTGACCCCAGGGCGTCCCGCACGGAACTACCCCACTGCGCTCCTCAAATGGGGCTGACATGCTCTCGCCGCCGGCCAGGACAGCCGCACCGAGCCACCCGAGCGCAGGCGCGAAATCCCCACGCTCCGGTTCCGCCTCGGGTCACTGCACATGCGCAGGGGCGCAAGGTGGTGACTCCCTGTGTGCCCTTTTTTCCCTCTCGAGGGCCATTTAAGGCACTGAGAGGAACCGGTTTAAAAGAACTGAAATCAAGGGAAGGGACAGAACGGTGGGAGAAGTTTGGAACCAGTGATGGAGGAATTCATTACCCCCTCACTTATGTGACGCCAAAATGCAACCTTAACTTTCCAGTTTGAAGTGCGCTTGCGCAAATGTTGCTAGTGTTTAGGCTGCAAGTGAGCAACCGCAAAAGTGATTGGGCGTGGAAGCAGCGAACAAAACCAACCTCCCATTGGCTGGCAGTCTCAATGTACAGGTTTTCTAATTGGATGCGGCAAGGAGCTAGTGCGCATGTTCCTTTGGTGTTTCCTTGCTTGATTGGTCTGCCCCGGGGTTTTGGTTTTCTCCAATTGGCTAATATGTTGGTGGGCGGGGACTCTGCGGGGATATTTGAATTCAAACGAGTAGCTGTCGGCAATCGTTCAGGAGATTTAGCTTCGTTTGGGAAGCCGGCTGTCAGCATGTCTTTTCCTAAGGCGCCGCTGAAGCGATTCAATGATCCTTCAGGTGTGTACGTCGGGAGGTGCGGGCTGGCAGCGGAGGGACGGGAGATGCCCTTACGCTTCTCGCCCTTTTTGGTCCCCTTCACCCGGGAGAGCCTGAGGCGACTTTAGGAAGGACCGGGGCTCCCTGTTTTTTATTTTCCCGTAAACGTTGTGACACACGCCAAGCATGTTAAGGATTCGAATGACACAGTGGTCAGTGAAGCAGTGTCCCTGCCCCGAGGACCTTTCCTTCTGACGGGGAGGAATATTCCTAAGCAGCGCAACGAAGAATGCCTGGGGCGAAGGGAACAGGGTAGGAGGCGTTCGTCTCCCCTGGTCCTGAGGTAGTGTCAAACACTCCTGCCATGTCCTCAGCTTCCCTGTCTGGGAAGTCAGGCGCTGGGTAAAAGCCTTCCTGCCTCCATCGTGGCCTCATGGGCCCGGACCCAGAAATCTCTTAGAATTAATAAATCAATTCAGCAAAGTAGCTGGATATAAAATCAACACCCATAAATCAAAGGCATTTCTCTACATAAGTGACAAATCCTCAGAGAAACTAGGAAAATCACCCCATTGACAATATATTTTATATTTCTACACACAGAATTAAAACAAATTCTAGGAAAAAAAATGCCTAACTTTGTTGTTTATGAGCTACACTGATATTTTCTATTATGTTTTACTTTTTTTCAGTGCTAGTTGAATCTACTAATGAGTGCTTATCTACTATTTGAAAAATATTTTAGGGACAGTAGTAGTTGCTTGGAATGGTCAATGTTCTTTGATATTCCCTTTTTATTTACATGAGAATCTAAACAAGTAAATAGCTTTTTAGAGAATAGATCTAACCTGTTGATTTCAAATCAGCTAAAGCTTTATGCTAATATTTAAATCCTGAGAGTCTCATCTCAACTCTGCTACCTGTAAGCACCCTGAAATTCCTTAAAATTTGGGACTCCAGTTAAATGAGGTTACACAGTATGAACTTTTTGAAAGTAAAACTATAGTATAGTTCATACTTCATATAATATGACTATAGATTTCTAGAGCTTCAATTTCCTTATCTATAAATTAACATGTAAAGTTTTTGTAAGGATTGAATAAAATAATATCTCTAACCTGTTTAGCACAATGGCGGCATTTAGTAAATACTAAAAATTTCTACTTGTTATTAGTGCAATTGCTTTCTGTCTCTGCATTCCAATTGTAGTTGATATCATCTATACATGTTGATATTAGCCAGAGATATATTATTACTCTAAATTTTTATTACAGACTTTTTAAAAAATTTTTTAAATTTGTTTTAATTAGTTATACATGACAGTAGAATGCATTTATGCACTTTTGATATACATAGATGGGATATAATTTCTCATTTTTCTGAGTGTATATGTTGTAGAATCATATTGGTCATGTAGTCACACATACACACACACACACACACACTAATGTCTGTTTCATTCTACTATCTTTCCTATCCCCAAATCCCCTCCCCTCCCCTCCTAACACTTCCGTCTACCTAATCTAAGGAAATGCTGTTCTTCTCTAGTGCCCCCCTGCCTTTTTGTGAATTAGCATTCTCATATTAGAGAACACATTTGGCCTTTGGTTTTGTGGGATTGGCTTATTTCGCTTAGCATGATATTCTCTAGCTCCCAACTATTTACTGGCAAATGCCATAATTTTACTCTTCTTTTACTATTTTTCTTCTTTAAAGCTGAGTAGTATTCCATTAAGTATATATACTAAGGCTAGATCATTTTAGTTATGATTCCTAGAATCCCATGGTATTTATCTTAGTGACTCTATTTGAAGACAGTTGTACCAAATATTTTATTTTGTATATTTAGTTCTTAACAACAAAACTATGGGCTGGATTCAGGGGCACATGCCTGTTGTAATCCCAGTTGCTTATAAGGTTGAGGTAACAGCATCATTAATATACAGTATATATACAGTATATATTAATGTATAAGTTGTCAGCCTGGGCAACGTAGTGAGACTGTCTTTAAAAAAAAAAGTCAGGGGGGACTGTCTTTTTGTTGTTGTTGTTGTTGTTGTTGATGGACACAATACCTTCATTTTATTTATTTTATGTGGTGCAGAGGATCGAACCCCGGGCCTCGCACGCACTAGGTGAGCACTCTACCACTGAGCCACAATCCCAGCCCCAGGGGAGGCTTTCTTAAAAAGTGTGTGGGGGGTGGGTGCTGAGGATGTAGCTCAGTGGTACTGCAAAAAATAAGAACAACAAAATCATATGATTTTTCTTCCTTTGACCCAGTCTATAGAAAAGGCAAGATTAGGATATTGTTCTTCATCATTTCAAATAGGTACTATTGTTACACTTACAGAAACAAAGAATCCAATTATAAATGGCATTTTTACACTTATATTCACATTATCATGACATGGTTTTAACTTCACATCATAAATAATATTATATAATACATTGATACTTTGTGTTTTCTAGGCTGTGCACCCTCTCCAGGTGCTTATGATGTTAACACTTCAGAAATATCTAAAGGACCGGTATCCTTTCAGAAATCACAGAGATTTAAAAAACAAAAAGGTAATGGGCCCCAAAATAAAACAATGGTTATATTATTTTATAAGTTTTAAAGTTATAAATGACAATATTTAAATTTAAAGTTGCTGTTGCATCTCAAAATATATAAAACTAGAATTATATTTACACTTTCTTGATGGATTTATGAAAGGATCAGATACAAAATAATGCTTTCATCATCATACTGTATATTAAGCAATATACTTATATTAAGCAATATACTCATAGATATGTAATTTTCTCTTTGGTTATTTCCTTAACCTTTCTCTTGAAGAATATTAGGAAAATGAGAAAGGTTTTTAGATGTATAGATATTGTACAATTAATTATTTAGAAATATATTATCAAGAAAAGAATAACTTTATATTGCTGTGTTTTTAGTTGCAGTAATATAGAAATTGTGTTTTGTGTGGTAGAAACATGTAAATACTAACTATGATTGGTACAATTCATTTTTCTGCAGAATCTCAACAAAATCTTAGTGTTGACAAAGATAGTACCATGCCTTCTTCAGCTAAAAAAGCTAAGACTTTGAGATTAAAGGTGAGGAGCTTTTACTACCATCTGGCTTATCAATTATCATTGAAAACATATCCAAAGGGTATTATATGTAATTAGAATGAGTTATAAGTATAAATCAAAATTATAATTAAATCTGTAAATAGATGGAATAAGTTATCATTAGGACTCTTTCAAGTTTTATATTCTGCCTAGGACTTTACTAAATCTATATTTAAATGTGCCCTTAGTTCACAATTACAAAATGATTACTATTTTTCTGTCATTTCTATATCAGATAAATTTTTCTTATAAATCTATACAAACTATATGATACTTTCATTAATTACTGCCACTTGAATTGTATAGGGTTTTTTTTTTTTTGTAGTATTTTGAGAAAACTATAGTTCTAACCACACAAGTATGTGTAGAACTCCCAAATAATAGACTTTCTAATACAAAATAATATCAGTTTAAAAATTAATAAAACATGAGATTGGTGTGCCTTCCCCTCAATGTAGAAACAAATAAACAGATTTTATTTAAGATGTTTTCTTCCATTTTTAGATGGCAAAAATCAATACTGTTTCTAGCTACTACATCAGAAAAGCTGTTGTATATAAAAAGATGTAGTGTGAAATTGTGTGTCTTAGGATAAAGGTAATGAGAAAATCAGATTTTTTTTTTTTTTTTTTTTTTTTTTTTGTACAGGGCATTGAACTCAGGGGCTTAAGGACTAAGTCACATCCCCATCCTTTTTCTGTATTTTATTTAGAGACAGGGTCTCACTGAGTTGCTTAGCACCTCACTGTTGCTGAGGCTGGCTTTGAACTCATGATCCTCCTGCTTCAGCCTCCCAAGCCACTGGGATTACAATTGTGTGTCACCACGCCTGATCTTAGAATCAGATTTTACTGTTTACATTTTTCTGTTATTTCTCTGGAATTGCATATTTGAAGTTTAAGTTGACTTTAAAAGATTTTTTTCCGTATGAGATTGGATAATCAAAATGTGTTGTTGCTATTTAACATTAGAAGATAGGTAGTCAGTAGTTTATCCATAAACTTCCATTTATCCTGCCCCCCACCACCCTCAACGGGGCTTCATAGAAACAGCTATTGGCCTATTGGGTTGAAAACTTAAACCTCAAGTATTTTGGGATATTTGGGGAGTGGGGGTACCAGGGAATGAAGTCAGGGGCACTTGACCACTAAGCCACATCTCCAGTCCTGTTTTGTATTTTATTTAGAGACAGGGTCTGAGTTGCTTAGTGTCTTGCTTTTGCTGAGTTTGGCTTTGAACTCCTGATCCTCCTGCCTCAGCTTCCTGAGCCACTGGGATTACAGGTGTGCCC